AAATGATGTTTAAAACATATATGTTTAATGTTCATGATAATTGAAAGATAAACAAATAAACATATCATTGAATACTGTTCAGAAAGGTAGAAAAATGTGTGTTAAAACTACCATAGTTCCATTATATATGATAATTGAGATCTTTTAAAAAATCGATTTTTTATGGTTTTTATACGCATTTTATATATTAAAACATGTACTTAAAAATTGATATTCAGACGAATTTTGTTTGGTGTAGATGATTTGAGAATCTAATTATATATCAGCATTATTCTTCTATTCTAGTTTGCTTTTATGTTTTTCAGTAGTTTTGTTGCACACAACATTCGTATATTTATTTATTATACACATTACAAAACCAAGGGGCGTCACTGATGGATTTTTCTGTTGGTAATTTTTGATGGATTTGTGGTAGATAACCGACGGATTGACCATCACCAATGGATTTTTCCGCTCGGTGATTGAAAATTCGCCGCTAATCATAATCACCTGCCACACTTTCTCTGACGATAAGTCGATAAGATTCGCCAATGATGGCTTTTTCCTGTGAATTACCGATAGATTTTTCCGTCAGTGAAACCTCTCTGTTTTGTAGTGACACATCATTCACATATAGCTATCAAATCTATAGTCCCAACGATGTTTAATGACTTCATTTGATTCTCAAGAATTAAGATCGTCGGTGTTTCAATCTCGCTTTATATGTACTCAAGTTCTATACATACATATCTTAGAGTCGTATTTTCCCTACTTTCCTTTCATATTCAAACAATGTTCTTTTTATTTATTTGTTACGATCCTTCTGTTTAAACTCAATCTATTTCTAATAAACATTGACAATACGTATTTCTCTAAACGATGACTTTTTGTTGGTTAAAAGAAACTTTGTGAATTTATTCAAAGCGTAAAGTAAGATTTGTTGTGATTTACAGCTTTTGAAGGTTATTTTATTATATAGAAGTAAAGATAAGATATGTTTCTTTCCTATTAAACGTGGCTTAAGGTGAATCGTGTTATGTGCCCAAAGCTTAAAAGGTGAATAGTTTTTCAACTTTTGAAAATTCGTTGACCATACCAAATAAAGATTACATGTCAAGGGTTGAAACCAGATGATAAGGTTGTATTAGACTTTCATCAGATCAGTTATATTAGTTTTTTAAAATTTCTATTTAAATTAGTTGTTTTAAGCAATCAATAGTAGCATAGATGGTTAACTTTTATGGACCTACGATTGTATGTCTACATAATGGTCTGCAAGGTGTAAAATGATATTATCAAGGTTGAAATACAGTATTTGTTAGAACTCGAGGAAATTCGAGACTGTAGCAGACGTAAATATAATACGCTATTAAGACAACCGTGACATGCTTAATATCAAATATGCTATTAAGACAACCGTGACATGTTTAAGATATTAAATTTGTTGGAACATGAACACCATAGTTCTGTTTACAACTAGATTTATTACCAATTATATGCATGCAGTTTTGTGTGGCAAGTAACAAAGTATTTTGTAAATATTATGAATTTGTAACAAATACATCGGATTTAAATTCAAAAATTAGAAGTCAACTGCATCTTTTACTCTTTTCATTACGGTTGAGAAAAAAGGAAGGTACAATCTCAAGAACATGTACGAAAAGAAATTTTTGCATGCAAAAACAAATGTTTATATATATATATATATATATGGTTGATTATATGAGAATAAATGTTATGGTGAGAAAGGTAAGAAATAATTAATCATCACTGTTGGATAAATTCTAATTGAAGAAAAACCGGTAGACGATATGAGAAGCACAAGAAACAATAGAAGGATTTTTTTTGTAAAATCACTAAAGAAACCTTATATATAATTTTTTTGTATATAAATATTGTTTATTTCAAAAAATACCACACACAAAAATGAAGTTAAAAATCCATTATTATTAGTTATGTTATTTAAACTTTTTAATATTCTTTGAAATTTTAGGGCTATTAATATTGGTTGACACGGACATATAAGTTATGTTATACTGTTGAATAACAAACCTTTAGTTTTTTATTTGAAACAATATATAATTGAGGAGTATTTGAGTAAGGTTGAGTTCCGATAAAAATGAAAGTTACAATGAGAAAGGTAAAAAAGGATCTCTACCATCAGATTAATGCTAATTGAATTGTTCCACTACATCAACACTAATTAGAATACGAGATCAATTCTCTAATAAATGCAATTCATGGATTGGTTTGAGATAGAAAAGTGATCAAAAGTCAAAATCTTTTATTACACTTCTCACTTTAACTCTTATTCTAACAATATCCTTTGTCATTTAAGTGATGGGATGCATCTCTATATAAAATACATCCTTATCTATTAATTTCCATATCATAAACATCAAAATCAAGACTTAAATTTTACATTTTAGATACATGATTTGACCTGATTTTGACACAAAGCAAGGTAATATAAGCACCCCTTTATGTTAAAATTAGGTAATTGAAAATGCAAAAAGTAAGGGTTGTTTACTAACTGCTGACCAGGCTGACTCGGTCAACAAATTTGACTCAATTAGTCGTCAGTGTATTTACCAAATCATGGATCTGACCAAGATCTGACCGAAATGCTGACTGAGATCTTATCCAACCATTGTCAAATTTATGCTTACCCGAGCCAGATCCTTGCTTTCCATACTTGCCCTGATTAAAAGATAAATAAATAGACTTATCTAAAAGTTACAAAATAATAATAATTATATTGATTGTTAAATATAGAAACTTGCAAATAAAATGATTGTCGCAAGTATAAATTCAATAATGAATTATAATTAGGGAAAAAAAATGAAAAGTTGGTTTATTAAATGAGAAGTTTGATTTAAAAATGAAAGATAAATAGCAATGTAGGTGTTTTAATGTGAAGGTTTGTAGTTTTTTTTAACTTCACAATTATTTGCTTACAAGTTTCAAGTGTTATTTTGTGTTCTTATGAAAACAAGTTGGTTTTACGTGAAACCAACCATATATATATATAGAGAGAGAGGGAGAGAGAGAGAGTTAAGATTTTTTGTTAATCAATTAAAATGTGTTAACTTTATAAACGTCAATGGACCAATAGAAAACAAGATACACTTTTGGTTGATGCATATGATAATTTTTTTTAATGAAGGTAAAAATGTAATTTTTTATTTGATCTTTTTTTAATGCAAATTAATTTTCGGTTACATTTCTTGATTATTTCATGTCTTGCCATTGTGAATGTCTAATGCAAATTAATTATCGGTTATATTTCTTAATAATTCCAAGTAAATTAATTGTCAATTACATTTCTCAGTTATACCTGAATAAACATTTGTTCATAGGTGAACCATCTCGTTTCAACATTTAAAAAAGTATTATATTCATATGTGAACCTGATAATCATATACACGTAACAAAACTAGATATGTACAAATTACCAATTATTTTAAAAAATGAAAAATGTTCATAAGTAAACACATGAACATTGTTCATAAGCACAATTTGATGTTTGTTCATAGTTGAACCAAATATCATTCCATATTTATTTCATATATAAACGAGACTACATAGCGTATGTGTTCATTAAGATAATACATGGATGTTACAAAAATCTTTATGACTTTTTCCATATACACCCCTGTGGCCCTGTTCACACATGAACAATTCCCATAAATATCGAATAGGTGTTCACACATGAACCATTAACCAAAAAAAAAATTGTAGAAGAATCTAATGTCGTTTTCGATTCAATGACAAGAGTAATTACCGGATAGTTATAATGTTATTAATTGTCAGTTACAAAATATTTCATTGTCATTAATGGACAGTTGCAAAACATCTCATTGTTATTTATGAACAGTTACAAAACATCTCATTGTCATTAATGAACAACTAAAATCTTTTCTCAAAATATCCCTTGTAAACATTGTTCACTTATGTTACCTTGTCTATGTGTGCAATTATTTACATTTTATGTCATGAATGATCTCAACAACAAATTTCAAAAATCAATGGATAAAATTGATTCACAAAGTTAACACAGTATATTGGGTTAACAATCAAATGTTAACCCAAATTATTGTGTTAACTTTATGAACATTTTCAACCAATCACAATCCATTTTAGTATTAGGTTATACTCTATTTAAGAATTTAATATTAAACGTATATGGTCATTTTATTGTTGATAAACACTTACCAAAAACATTTGATTAACACTCTTAATCGGGACAATACTTACTCGGGTCAACACTTATACGGTAAGAGTTGATAAACAACCCATAAGTCTTGATGTTGATGTATATGAAGAAGAAATTAGTAGGTAGAGGTGTGTTTAATAATATACATGGGTGCATTTAACAATATATAATATAGGATCTATTTGTTTGCAGCTTAATGAGTTTAATGAGACTCAAAACTAATTCGATCAGTTATACATGACTGTTTAGTAATGACTTAATGCTACAAAAAATAGTTTATTCATTTAATTATATGAAGAAGACTTTATACAAAAAACCAATTTTTTTTCAAACCTATCATTTTCAGTTAAAATATATACTCATTTCATCTACGAAAAAACGATATCAAACAAAAAACTTTCCAATCTAAACATATAAAAATTTATTTTGTGAGTTTGTCTATTTGTCGGATTTCTTTTTGCATTTTGATTAAAAAAAAGGGGCCTTATCTCTCATGGCCGAAACGCGACTACGCTAACGATGTTGTTACTTCATATCTGTAGCTAAATTGCCTTTCAGTTTCCCCACCTCATCTCTCTTTCTCTCTCTAGGAAACCGTTTCTCCCTCTATCTTCAAAATTCAATCCCCACCAAATCCAAAAGCATCCCCCAATAATTTAACTAAACTAAATTTATACAAGTTAAAGCTAAAGCAAAAAACCTAAATTCATATTTACTTACACACACACACACACATATATATATATATATATATATATATAACCCCACTTATAAGCTATCATCGGTCCATTCATAATTAATCTTACAACAAATTTCTCGTTGCATTCTTCTGTGTTTTATCGCGTCGATTGGTTGTGATCGCCATGGATGAAATGTACGGTTTCCATTCGACATCCGGTTACACGGTTTCACCGGAAAACAACTTGATTTTACCGGCCGAGCATCAGTCCTCCGTCGATCAGTACTGGCCGTTTTACGGATCGGATGATTTGTTATCGGTTGCTGCTTCAGTCATATCAGATGCGGTTTCGATTGAGACGAATCCTGATCGGATTATTCTTCCGAGACGGCGAAGCAACCGACCGCGTGATCAAGCTAAAAATGGCGGTTTGGATGTCGCTGCTGCTGATGATGCTTCTGGAGATAGGATCAAGGAGAAAATTGCGTCTCATCCTTCGTATTCTAAGTTGCTCGCTGCTTATATCGACTGTCAGAAGGTTTATAAAATAAAATATCGCGTTTTCGAAAGCGCTTTTCCATCGTCTCTTTCATCGTTTTTGGTCGAGATTAAGTTTTTGTCAACAAGCTTTCCTTTGTGAAGATCAACGCCTAATATACGTCTCTAAGCCAAACTAAATCCTTCTTTTACGCATATCGGAGAATTTTCGTTCTATAGCAACAGATGTTTTCGTATCTATGAATAAATTATTATTGTCGCTGTTTGTTATACAGGTGGGAGCGCCTCCGGAAATAGCGTGTTTGTTAGACGATATCCGTCTCGAAAATGACGTTCGCAAACGAAACGCAACCGCCTCTACTTGCTTAGGAATTGATCCCGAGCTCGACGAGTTCATGGTTCGTCTCTTCGTTACTTTGAAAATATCCATAACTTGATTACACATCACGCACGCAAAGAAGATTTTCGAACTTTTAGCTGTATGTGATTATGTAGGAAACCTATTGCCATGTACTGGTGAAGTATAAATCCGATCTCGCAAGGCCTTTTGATGAAGCTGCGGTCTTCCTCGGCAACATCGAAACACAACTCCGCAATCTCTGCAAAGGTGCGCATATATGACATCTTCTTTTCTAAACTCTCTCTCTGTTGATTATATTTCTTCAAAAGCGGTTCTGCATACGATGTTGTGCTTGGCGCATAATAGCCCAAGTACCTGGCTTACATAAGCATAATGCAACCTTCACTTTTCTTGTTCTTGATCTTACTGATCAGCTACACAGTTAATGTAGTCGCTCTCGCCGTAGGGAGGGGCTTTATATGACTATATATTTACCTCAAAAGAGAATAATTAATCAAATGAAAAACGAGCTTGTGGCGAGTAAAAATCACATAGAATAGTTCTATATGTGAAATCTAGCCTGATACAATATATCAACTAAATTTCTCTAAAAAAGATGGAGACGTGATGCGCATGAAATGTATCACCGATACAAATTTATGACAAACTTATGATTAGAGTGTTGTATCTAATCAACCTATCATATGCCATATCTAATATATTTTTAACAAGTCATCGAGTCCCATATATACTCATGTGAACATTGGTGTGAATGTGTGATATACAGATCAATTTCTGTTTTACACTTATTGTTTTTCTTTCTGCCTCATATAGCCGAGTTTCAAGCCAGTACTGTAAACGAGCAAGCATTATATACTTGTCTGTGTTTTGGTAGGTAATCTCTCGCTTCTCCCTCCGTCTACCTCATTTAGGAGATAAAGTCATCATCTATAAGAAAGAAACAAAGAAAAGAAAGTCGTAAGATCTCTGGAATCATGGATCATTAAACAGTAACGAAACACTTTCTTTATCAGTTTTGATTTTCTTGTGTCATGTTTGAATTGGTTTGTTTTCTTTTGTTTTCATTTCATATTCGAGTAGACATAAGTATAGAAAACTTAAGTGGTCAATGCTTTGAAATTAAGTGTATCACTGCTACCATCTCTTTTGGCCATAACAATAATTTAATTGGCAGAAAATATTAGCTGGTTTTGTGTACTCTTTTCAGGAGATCAATTGGCTAGATAAGAATTTTGTAGGAGAGTTTGCTTTATTAATTCTTTTTCCCATATAGTAATAAGTTATCTTATAGAAGTTCAAGGAAATATTTCTATGTTTGATTATGTTATTTTCTACTCTTACTTTGGGATAAAAATAAGATCCTTCTAAGCAATTACACTATACAGGGTCTAATAAAGTGGTATTGCAGCAGGCTGCTATCAATTGTTGTGCTAGCAGTTACTTTTTAAATTCGAGTAAAATGTGTGTCCTACTATTATATACCATGTATGTCTACAGGCTGCTATTCTGCTTCTGGCTCAGTATTGATGTTATGTGTAATTTGATGATATCAAACTTTAAGTCTGTTTTTATTTTTCTTCATAAGATCTCAAAATTTCATGCTGACAAGATTAATTAAATCTAGAGAAAGGAAAAAGTCTTGCACATTCAATGCTTGTTTCCTTATGATTGATGCCATTTTTTTATATGAATAAAAAGATATTGTAGAGAACTGTCTACTGGTTTTTTAGTTAAGGTACATGTACCAACAATAATACTGTTTTCTTTTTGGAAGAGAGAATCCCTGTATATTGATATAGTTTGAAGGGAATCGAGATGCTTCCAAGCACTTGAATGAGTATAGACGTTCCCTTCCTTCTTTTTAAGGGCGCTAGGTTTGGAAAAATATAGGAGAGCCGGTGTTTATAGGGAATCATCAGGTCGTTTTCTGTATTTGGATTCACAAGGAAATGAAGTGTTGATGGTTAAGCTAAATTACGAGCTAGGAGGTGTGGAGTGTGCTCTCATATAAGTTAGCTAGAACCTGAGACTGTCGATTGTTGCCATGTAGCAAGGGTCAAGGGAGCAGCCCTCTTCCCATGGTCCAAGGGGCAGAGAGTCCCTGGTGGTGGTCCCACTGATGGGTTAAGGGGGCAATGCCTCGGAGGCTCCATCAGTGGGACTTGAACACAATGCTATCCTTCGGAGGCTCCATCAGTGGGACTTAACACAATGCTATCCACTGATGGGAACCTTCCAACTTATTCATAACTGTTGTAGAACAGTTTATAACCTCTCATAACCACCTATAATTGCTCACAAATTGCGGCAATCATTTACCTTTAATAGGGCATTCATTCTTAGTTTTCATGTACGAACCTTCTCTAGGTATATAACTTCCGATTTCTGCCAATATTGTCAAGGGTGTGATTTGGGATTATTTTCTAGCAAATGTTGTGTAACCCATCAATAAAGGATCGAAATATTACTCAAGGAAAGTGATGTTACACGATCTCAAATTTTATCCAAGTTCTTGCCTTGATTCTCACACACCCTAGTTTCATCAAATAAAATGAGTTTTTATCAGTAATTCTAGTAAAATAAAAATTCTTAACATGATGTAAAATTCGAACTGTAAGAAAGTCTGACGACCTGTCTGATTTGAAACTGTAAAATGTGGTGTCTGGTTATTTGTCTGAGTTTCAAGTTCCCATAAAATATTTTCTTGGATATCGACTGCATGGGACGATACATTGGGAAATGTAAAGCTTTAGTTTCAGTCAATGAAAAATAAAAAAAAGGAAGATGTTATCTATAAGAAAGTTGATTTATCTAAACCAAAATCTGAGAAGTACCGGTTAATCTTTTCTAATTACTCTGATCACCACAATTCTGCATTTCTGATTCATATTTCCTTCACGTGATGGTATATGTATAAATCATAAAACAACTTTTCAAAAGAAGCTTATTTTAATGTTTAGGAGTACTTGCAGTTAGAGTTCTTTGGCCTCTAATTCTTTCTTCTCCCATGAGTATAGCAATATTTAATTGGCCAAGTACATTAGGTTAGTGTTTACTGCTGTGCTTTATCAGCTTATTGTTTGTTTTAGTGAACTTAAAAGTCAAGTTGTTGATACAATGCATCCTGATCAGAAAAATTCTGCTGTTTGTCTCCATCTCCAACGGAGAGGTGGAGGAGATCATGCAGCGCACAACCTAATTTAGCAGCCTTTGAGGCGCAGAACCAATATTATAAAGAAAGTGATTCAGATTTACGTCATAAAAAAGGCTGTTTATTAGTATATCAAGATTGCTTAAGCTTGGTTGGCAACTATTATTATCTATATCTGAAAGTACAGGTTAACTTTAGCTGATCTTGCAATTATTCGTTGATAGCTTTGTGCACTTTGTTTACTCTCCTCACGCTTGATTTGGTAGTAATTAATCTGCTTTCACTTTTAAGATTCTTTTTGTCCATTTTGTGCATTCAAGGAATATAATCATGTGCCTAGATTGTTCCGTGGTAGCCATTATTCTGCATTCTATTGAAACTAGCTATTTTGGTACCTAAAACTATGTTCATTTATCTAGTTTTCACATATGTACTATACATGAGCTGACCTGATTTACGATCAGTATCTCATTTACGATCGATATCTATAACAGGTATGCCATATATTTTTTTCTCATTTTTCAAATTAAGAAAATTTCTTCATTCTCTCTAATTTTTATTTTCTATTTTAACATAGTTGTTGGAGTGAACTTCTCCTAAATTTCCAAAAAATTTAAAATAGCATAAGTGTTGTATTTGTATATTTGTATTTGAATTCTTAGCATGACAAAACCCTAGTCTCTTCGTCCTCTAAATTTGAGCTTTTATATCCTCCAAGAGTATTAAGCATTAGGTTTGTTAACGGATGAGTCTAGTGCTTGTAGATTAATCAAGGGAGCACACTCTAGAACCGACCTCTTGCAGTCTTGCAAATCTGCCGTGCACACTACCTTTCATATTTTTTTTCAAAAATATATAATATTTATATACGACAAATATTAATCTTGGTGAGTTTTGAACCTTTCATATCTTACTGAAAGTTAGCTTTTTAGTCGTAATTATAGCTGTATATGGACCATTTCGCAACCAATGCCACTACAAGATTGGACTAATCTATAGCGACAGGAAAAAGTTACACAACCTTTTGCGATCACATGTCACGGTAGACCCAAAATAAAATGGTGGGAGATACGCCCAGGAAGATGAAAAATTTCCGAACTTAGGCTTTCAATAAGACCTTCTAATTAAAACACAGCACAAGTGGCCTGGTTCTATTGTTGTAATGTGCTACAAGTTGGTTGTATGGTTCTGCTTCATGAAGAGCAAGGGGTCATGGGGATTTCTTTGAGTATAACAGCAATGGGTAATCTACAAGGGATTAACATACGGTTAGTGGTCATGATGTAGGTGTGTTAATTAGTTTCGTAAGAGTAACAGTTTTTCTATAATTTTTTTGAAGTTAAAAGAAATAAAAGTCAAAATCTAAAAAAATTACATTTAGTTCCAACAGTTTTTTTAATTAGAAACTATAAAAACTCTCTATCTGTATTTTGGGTTTCCTTAGCATGTACAATCAGGCAGTAGTACCCCATAAACGAGGCAATGTAACTTCTCTATGCTACCTCTATCGTTGATTTTCCTAGCAATCGCTACTTGTGCTTTGCCTTGTTTTCTTAGCTGGTCTTGAGGTTTTTTAGAGCATTGTTTACAGATTCTTTGAAAGTGAGGAAATAAAGGTTTCATTTTCTATTTTGGTCTAATAGAATTTTTATATTTTTTTCTGAAATAAAAAAAACATGAAAAAAAAAGTTTAGAAAAATCTCTAAAACTTGATATGAGGATAGAAAAATAATTTTTATATTCACCAATGGAAGTAATATTATTTTATATAGAGATTTTTATATAAAATATATTTTGATGATAATATTGTAAATTATTTTAATAATATAATTAATGCTAAATCTCTAAAATATAATGTTTGTTGAAATTATTTTAGAAAAATTATACAAAAAATACTTAGAAAAATTATAATCTCTTAAAAGATTGCAGCTGCAAAACACCTTTTTTTCTTTTGCGAATTGAAAAGAAAGCAGTTGCGACGATAATAATTAAGTATGGGGTGGGTAAATTGGGAAGAGAATATATGGATAGGGATTGGGAAGAGAGGGTGGCAAGTGGTCTGGCCTGAGAATTGAGATGAAGATACGACTAGATG